ATGTGGGGAGATGTGGGCACGCTAGAAGGGAGGAATAGGCTACAATTGGACCTAGACAGGTTACAGGGGTGGGTGAATGAGAATAGGATGGGATTCAATGCTGACAAGTGCAAGGTGATACACCTGGGGAGGAAGAACCAGCACCATACCTACAGGCTGTAGAACTCCCTTCTCGTCAATACAGAGGCAGAAAAGGATCTTGGAGTCATCGCTGATGCCAAGATGAACATGGGCCAGCAGTGTGGAGATGCAGTCAGGAAGGCCAACCGTGCCTTGTCATGCATCCACAGAGGCATCTCAAGCAGGTCCAGGGAGGTGATACTCCCCCTCTGTGGCACTTGTAAGGTCGCAGCTCTAGTACTGGGTCCATTTCTGGGCGCTGCACTTCAAGAGGTATGTGGACAACATGGAGAGGGTCCAGAGGAGGGCCGCTCACATGATCAGGGGGCAGCAGGGAAGGCCCTACGAGGACAGTCTACAGGACCTGAACCTATTCAGCCTCCACAAGAGAAGGCTGAGGGGGGATCCAGTGGCCTGTTACAAACTAGTCAGAGAGGACCAGCAGGCACTGGGGGAGTTCCTGTTCCCCCTACCAAGAGTGACAGGGGGACAGACTTGATGATCTGCTCAGGTCCCTTCTGACCCTACTATCTATGAAACTATGAAACCTGGGTGAGCAAATTCACCATTATGATTTTACCAGTCTCTTCCCCTTCATCAGCAAAACAAAGGAATACCCTATCGGTTACCCCAAAATCATTCACGACAATTTCAGGCCCCTGTCAAGGTATTTTGGGTTGGCAAGTTAAATTGTACCTGCCACGCGGGCTCTTTTTCCCGGTGTTACCTGTCAGGGTGAATGGCAAACTCCTGTTCCCACTGTGCCGCACTTGTGCAGAAAAAAAAAAGCCAAAATGTATTCACACGGATGAGGAAAGAGCCCTCCTGGGCACTTGGTGCACACCTGAATTGAAAAAAGGTATCACAAAGGGATACAAAATAACTAAAATCTATGATATCTGGCATTTTCCGGAGATAAGTAACACACTTTTTGAAAAATACATGGAGCTCCACCTCCAACAGAAACAGGAAGCCTTGGGGTAACCCACCTGGTGTACCGAAAAAGAAAACCAAGAACAAGAGCTGTATGAGTTGTTAGACAGACTGCAGGACTGGTGTCTATACCATCATACAAACTCTGTGATTTTTTGTGAGCTGTGAGGGAGACCAGAACCCCCCCGCTCAGTGATTATTTAGGCCACCTCACAAGCGAGATCCTGCCAGATGAACATATCACAGAGTTTGTGTCAGCAGGCCCCAAAACCTACGGGTATAAGCTGTCAGGAGGAAAGGTCTGCTTAAAAGGCAAGGGGTTTACCCTGAATGTGGCCAACTGTGAAAAAGTCAGTTTTGAGAGCTTGAAAGACCTGGTTCTTGATTACAGGACAAACCCTGACAGGTACATCTCTAAAACCATTGCAGTGAAACTGAACTCGATTGTCAGGAATAAACAACATGGGACAATTGAAACTAAGACTATTAAGAAAACACAGAAAGTCATTTATGATAAAAGGGTCCTCGCAGAAAACTTCAAGTCCCACCCCCACAGTTTTTGAATATGGATATGCATTGGAAGCATCCCTTTTCTGTGATTCTTGCAGGGCCTAGCAACTGTGGAAAAAGTTACTTTATAAAAAACCTGCTACATAATGCTGATAGTTTGTTGTCTCCTCTGCCTAAGAATATTGTATGGTGTTACAGCTGTTGGCAACCTTTGTATAAAGAATTACTTTGTAAATACACTTTTTATCAAATATGTGGAGGGGGTGCCGCAGAGTCTTAATGATGACCGCTTGTTTCCCCTGAATAAAGTAAATATGGTTGTGGTGGATGACTTGATGGACTCTGCTTGTGAGAGTGGTGAAATAGAGAAAGTCTTTACCAACTATGTACATCACAGGGACTTTAGTATCATGTATATAGTTCAGAATGTTTTCTGCCAAGGGAAAAGGAGCCGCACCATCACCCTTAACACAAAATACATGGTTCTGTTTAAAGACCCCAGGGATAAGCTGCAGGTGCTATCTCTGGAAAGACAGATGTACCTGGGCAAGACCCAATTCTATCTAGAAGCTTTTGAGGATGCCACTGAAAAACCTTATGGATACCTGGTGATAGATTAAACACTTGTACCCCCGAGGCTTTTAGATTAAGAACCGGGCTTTTCCCTCCTGACCACCTAGTGGTTTACACTTTGAAAAAATTGGTGGGTGAAAATAAAAAGAGATGATGTAGCAGTGGGGTCTTTTTTAGCTCCTGAGCCCGCAGAAGGGAACATGTCTAACTGCGTGAAGAGAAATTTAGCTGCCTTAAAACTGCTTGCTCAATCCTCCCCCCAACAGAGGAAAGCTGCTCAGCCTCTGAGGATTTAGTAGCCACCATTGCAGAAATTGCCCTGGACACCCTAAAAGGAAACATTCCTTTGACACCCCACCAAATCCATGTACTGAAAAAGAGATGCAGAATCATAAAATACCTAAGTAACAAAAGACTCTGTCTCAAAAAAGAAACACCTGGTGAAACAGTCTGGGGAATTTATCAGCCCCCTGTTAATTTTTGCCATCCCTCTGATCATGGGACTTTTGACTAATCAGTGATGAAGTATGCGGAAAAAATGTACCTGGTGCCCATCCACCAGCTGGAGAAATTAAGGACTCCTCCACTTCCTCAGGAAAATATCAGAACAGAGGCAACCCATTTATTGGATGCTGAGATGAGGGACATTCTCCAAAGGCTGGTTTTAACAGAATATGATAAAGCTAAACTGTATGCCGCTGTGCTTCAAAAATACCTGGTGTACGTGAAGCAAGGTGATCTGGATAAAGGGAAATTAACCCTGTTTATGCCAGAACAGAACCTCTCAGAAATGGCAAAACCCCTGGATACACCAACAAATCCTGACCCCACTGTTCAGGAAGTGTTGGCTAATGTGCCCATCTGATACAGGAAAAATGCTGAAGTGTTGCTCAGCAAACTGAGTCAGCACAAGCATATTTCTTCTTGGGATGATCAAGAGGGTGTTGTATACACAGTAATGCTCATCAGGGGTTCTAACATGTTTGACTTAGTCCGGGGAGCCCTCCAGACTCACACCGGTTCTAGTAAACAGCCACCTAAAGGCTGGGGCATCTTTATGAAAGCCCTGGCAGAGTTGAACATACCATCTTCTCTTATGGGCAATACTGCAAATCGGGCTCATTTGGAACACCTGAAAACCTCTGCTGCAGGCCAAGAAACAACATCACCAAAGAAGCAAAATGTTATCTCTAAAAGCAAGTGGATTAGCATGTAAAGTTTTACTCTTGCAATAAACTATTTTACACTGCTTCCAGATTTTGTCTACAACGTGTTTTTTAATGTGATATGACGTAAAAGAAAAGTACATACACATTTTTTCTTTTTTTAAAAAACCCACCCGGGGAGAGGGGGGGAGGGTTCTTTATTTAAATAACATTTTTGTGGAAGTCACTGCAAGAGACACATGTCTGGGCATGTTGAAACAGGTGTTGGGCAGATCCAGACATATGGAAAAACTTGTATTTACTATTTACAAACTGCATCACCATGCGGTCATTTTGTACTAAATCATCAGAATACAATTTTAAAATGTGTTCAAATGACAAACCCTTGTTCCGGTGGTGTAGGAAGAACACACAGTGGTATCCACAGGCAAAACAGGTGGGGTCTTGTAATTATTTCATCTGAAAAGCATTGCTGGTAGTATTTTCATTTTAAAAGAACATAATACTTTGAGGAAACAGAGCGCTGCTTGGGGGGTGACCGTACGAATCCAAAAACTCTCCGTGGTTCCTATCCACCAGGTAAACAGCCAGCCAGTGTTCTCTAAGTTGGTTGTGCAGGTGCGTTTGGACCACCAGGCTCAGTGGTCTTTGAGACAGCTGAACCTTAGGGAGCCAGTCACAGGGGGATACATGTAAAAAAGTCTTTTTGGTGTAAGGTTCTGCAGATAAAACTCTGCAGAGCTGTTCACTGTCCATCTTCACATGTAGTCAAACAGCATGTTTCTCCTCTGGTTTATCTCTATAACATTGTCAAAGACCCCATACACGATCATGTTGACAGTGATGGGCAAAGTCCCTGCAAAGCGTATTTCTGCTCTCAGGTGCCTGGTTTTAATCAAGGAATAATGGTCAGCACATTCCTGGTCAGGAGACTGATCAAAGGCAAACAAGGTGTACCCCTGGGCAAACTCCTCACGGTTGATCAATAGGGAATGGTCTTTCATATGCTTACCAGCAGTCTGTACCAGCTGCATATATTCTCTCACACAGTTACCATTTTCAAAATCATGTTGTAGAGGTTTTGCTGGGATTTGTTCTCCATCAACGTACAAGGCAACAAAATTTGTAATTTTTAAAGTTAAAGGGTTCTTAGAATAGTTCCCACTAAAGGCATCATTATCCACAAACCTGATAACAATGAGCTTGGGCAACTGTCCCAGAAACAGATTCTCCTGATTACTGACCCGACTGCCAGCAGGAATGCTAAACACTTTCAGACCTGTGCAGTCTATGGAATATTTAGCATTGGCTATAAGCAAGGCCTCCACATGACCCAACCGGACACCCGGAGCCACCTTCACTTTCTTCACAAAAAGTGAGGCATACGTGATTTGTAGTTTACACTGTCCAACCTCTGGGGTGCCCATTAAACAGAAGGCATCTTTACTGCGAGTCAGTTTAATTTTCACATCCACGTCATTCAACAAAAGTTTTTCTTCAAAAAACAAATCACTGTGGAGGTGGCCTAGCAGCTCTATCTTTCTGCTCCCAGCAGTCAGGCTTACCTGTCTCCTAAACCCATGGTTATCACCATCCAAGACGACTGCTTCATGTTGTCCAGGGGTGTCTTTGTAAAACAGACCAGCCAAAAACAGAGTAGCGAGTGTATCATCACTGTAGTTGAGCACTGATTCAATGAAGACTCTGTAAGGGTAACAGTTGTTGCTTTGGCTTATGAGACAGTCTCCCAGAGTGACATCCAGCTGGCTGAAAATAGAGGCTAAGGGGTAATTCACTAGCCCCACTGCAGCCCCATCATCAAGATCCGTTCCATCACCTTTTACAATCTTGCAACAAAGGTACAGCAATGTGTTGTTTAAATCCATATAATCTTCTCCATTCCCAGCAATGAAAAAGGCAAGGGGGGCAGACTCTGTAATAGCTGAGAGTGGGGGGGTCTCAATGTACAGACCTTTTCAATGTTGGTCTGTGTGGGAGCTATTTGAAACAAATACAGCTCAGATTTGGTACGCTCTTTGGATCCGACATGAACAAAAGAAATAGCAGTTAAAATATATTTCTTTTTCTTCCAGGAGAGCGCCCCTTCTTCCTCCCAGACAGCTGCTTCTTGGTCTTTCGTTTCTGTCTGACCTGGTGCCTTAGCTTCTTTCTTTTAAGGGGCTGGGGTGGGCCTGTACACAGGGGACGTGATGCAACTCTCTTTCTTTTAAGGCTCCTTTTTTTAATATACACAAGACCAGACCCACCCTGATTTGTTGACCGGCCCACCTTATCCAGAACAGCTTGGGAGACATGGTCAATCACATCCTGGGCTATGTTTTGAGCGGCATTCTTAATGTGGGGTTTAATAATCTCTAGGCCCCTTTTCAAAAGAGGGATGTCTTTTCTAAACACACTGTGGAATATGCCCCCCACACTAGCTCCATACATCACAGGCAGCCCCTGAAAACCGGGGAGACCGTATGCAGCTTGAGCTTTGTAATAATTTCTGTACAAGGCTGGATTCCCCATAATTTTTTACCACCAACATTGTGCTTTTTCTTATTTCAAAACACCAAAGTCCTTCAGCGATGCAGGTGGAGCTTAACAATCACCTTGCCAAAACGAAATGAGACGTGTCTATTCTGATCCGTCTTTATTTCAATGCTGATTGTGTCAATGTGGTGCTGGCTCATGGGGACATAATGTGGCTTGTCATATGTGATAGTGACAAACTCGTTGTTTTTTCCACGGGTAGGTACACAGCATAGCAAGGGAACCGAAAAGTCCCCAACAAGCTGGTGTTCAACAATGTCCATGTAGAGGTACAATGAATTGAATCCTCCGGTTATATCAGCTGTAAAGGGTTTTTTTAACAGTGGACCTGGGTAGTAACCCCAAGATATAGGCTAGTTCACCACCAGTAGAAAAAGCATAAGAGTTATCGCTGGCTTTCAGTCTAATTTTTCTGCTCGCTTGATCATAGAAGATAACTAATTCAGGTGGGGTAGGGTGACTGGCAATGATATCATTCATAAGATCCAACAACTCTGTGATGGATGAATAATATCCCCGGCGCAGGACATATCCCAGTTTTTTAGCTTCAGAAAAGATTTCAAAAGGGGTGTCTTCGTTGATGTTGTTCCAGCTGTGCAGGTATCGTATTTCTACTAAACCTACCTCCCATTTCCCCCAAAGATCCAGAGGTTTAAGCAGCTGTATGGTAAAGTTCGAACTGGTGTTCTGTAGGAAAACCTTGGTGCAGGTATTACTGGGTAAAGTGATGTAAAAACCACCGTCGCTCATCTTGCTCTTTCAGCAGCAGTAATGCCTTGTCTTTTATTCTAAATGTTACAGGTTTGGGAGGCTTCTACCCAGCTATTAAATTAGCAGGCCACCCTAACCATTTCACAAGTAACTGTTTCTTTCTCCCCTTTCCTTTCTCTGCTAAAACTTTTTCAATCCTGTAAACTTTGTCCTGTTTTGGGTTCACTTTCTGTAATTCTTCAGGATAAAAAGAACCCTCGATTGGCTCGTCTTTGTAATCTTTTAGGTGGTAGAGGGAAGGGTCTGCACTCACTTAATGACTTC